TCCTCCTTCATTTCATGGAGCTTGCCAGATGAGTTGATCTTCATCTTGTTATGAGCACGTTCAGTGTGAGCAAAGACTACAAAGAAAGGAATAAAGATTTAGTTTTTTTTTTTTTTAATTTAAAAAAAAAAACTAAAGGATCGACTTACATGAAAAGGTTCTCGAAGAGAACAAGTCATCTTACCTGGCTTTGTATTTGGAGTGTGGTGGCCACCAGGTTAGTAGGTCGGGAGGCCTCAAAGGTAAATGCCAATTGGTATTCCAAGAGAGTGAAGACCACCGACCTTAAGTGGTTTGGCATTTGCCCTAAGAGGTCCAACACGGACTAGTCGTACCTCTTTGTGGCAAGGACCTCTTTGGTTCACTCTTCGTCGGGTTCCCTTTGAGTGGTCATGCCTTCGCCTGCTGTCGAGGCGCCCTCGCCCACTCGCAAAGTTCCTAGAATGCCCTATGGGACAGCCTTCGAAGAAAGAGGTCGGTGGGGCTGTAATTCGCCCAATAGTATCCCGAAGCCTTCTGATTCTGATTTGGTTTCTTCTTCGGTTGGTAGTGTTTTCCTCTTCTTTGTCTTCGAGGCTGTGGTTTTCTTCTTCGATAGGCAAGCAACAGTAGACCGGGGAGCTTCTTCATGTTGCTCTGCAGGTGGTTGCCTTTCGACACTAGTTTGTGTCTTCGTAATAGGGACATCACTGGAGGTCGTTCCAATTATTCGAGTCGGATTTAGTCTGGGGAATGTGAACCTTGTAGACTTTTTCAACATCTTGTTAATCTTCAGTGGCATGACTGCTACATGGCATACGACCACGTCAGCAAAAAGAGTCTACTTTTGTTAAAAAGACTTGGGTTTTTCTATATGAGAAATACTTACGAGCTGAGCCTTCCAAGTATGCATCAAGAGTGAAAAATCCATATCTCCGGAGCGTCGCGACTCTAGTCGGGCAGTCGACCAACTGCTTAGATACGGCTACGATAATCTAGCACCGATAACCTGGTCGTTTTGTTTCCTGTAAGGAAGCAAAGAGTTTGTTAGCTTAATATATGTTAAAGGAAGAGTTAAAGTTAAAAGACGAGCAATCTGAAAATTAAAAGGAAAACCTACTTGGTTCTTTAAATTTACAGACTCCGTCATATTGGAAGAAAAAATATTTGGTTTCATAAGCCCCCATGTTGCCTGGGTAACCAAATATTCCTCATTTGATTGTTGATCACTTGGAGAGGTAGTACGAATATTTGTCTTTGCTCTTCTTTAAATAATAGGCACAAGCAAGCTCTTGCGTTGTTGGCTCGCTGAGGTTGTGCTTACTAAATGCAATATGCATAGTGACTGCTATCATATATGCATTTGGCGTCAGCTGGAATAGCGCGACCTGGAAGTGGTCGAGGATTCGACCTAATGTAGGGGTGAAGAGGTATCCACACTCCACATTTGAAGATCGCTTCCGAGATCGTAGCCATTCCCTCGGGAGGATCCTGAGTAGTGTGCGACCTGTAGTGATACACTTCCATGTCGATCGTGTACTGGTCTATCACGCTCTGAATTTTTTCCTTTGTGACAATAGATCGTATCACCTTTTCGGGACCTGCTGAGGTGCCCGACGGTTGCGAGCTTCTCTCTCCAACTGTTCTTGTCTCAGAGATTTCCATTGCCCTTTGAGTCTGTAAAGGTATTACACGTAGGGGTGACTTAAACCCTAAATAATCTACCTCTTACGATGAGTCAGAAGAAAGAGAATCCTTAAAAGATCTATGCCCTAAGTTTTAACTCTTAAAAGTGTTTCTTTCAAACGCTACCTAGGAGTGTTCATCATCTAAGTCTACCAGACATCCACGACCACCATTACTGTAAAAACTAAGTTTTTGATAGAAATGAAAAAGAGAAAAGGGAAGAAATTTCTTTACCTCTCGATTGTTATGAATGGATATTTTGTCGTAGCGTTGAGTGCGCATTAACTGGGAAGAGGATGAACTAATTTTTTCGAGTTTGAAAACGTTGTTCTCTCTTTGAAATTGTAAGTTCTTTGAAAAAACTTAGGATGGGTTTAGGGTTTTATAGGGTTGAAGATGACGTTTGGCTTCTTTTATAAACGACGTTTGGGCAGGAACGCGCTCCTAGCCGTTGATTGCGACCACGTGTCACCAATCCACGTGAGGAGTAACCCCTACATTTTATGAAAATCAACCAGCGCATTTCTTTATCGAAATTGCCAAGTGCCCATATGATTATCTTTTCCACATTAAATGTGCTCTCATTCGTATTTAATGCTTCAAAAGAGAATGTCGTTTCAGCATGACTTGCAGTTAATGCTCATGGCTGACACTTATTGCGCAGAGACACGTCTGTCAGATAAAACTTATTTTATTGATCAAGCCAGCTGTGAAGCGCAATGGATAACATCTGAATAGGCCATTCAAATAAAACATTTGTTCAACATGTCAGACTTGAGCACCGAACAAGATGGTTTTTATTTTTCGACAACAAAATGTTCTAAGTGTTTTCAGGTCGTGAATGACAGCTAGAGTCCAAAACACATTTTAATAGCACTGGACAAGATCAAGCTCAAGTTGTTGGACCTCTATACACGATCACGTCAGGTCGCTTGTGTAACTCTCAAAATCCATGTTACAACCTATACTCAATTCGTTGATCAGATCGAGCAGTTAGCCTCGTGTTGTCTGCAATGATGTGACTATTTTCAGCTGTTAGCTTGAGCAGACATTTCTGGAGACAAGTCAAGTCGCTTCATAATCATGAAGTTCTCAAGATTCAATTCTTGAACCTTAAAAACTGGGGAACTTTTGTTATGCCTAAAAAATCAGGGCTGACGTAAGCTTACACTAGTAGACACCAATCAGAGTTCAGGAAGGCTTTACGTCGTCCAGACGCTGCCACATCACCCCAAGACAGCAAGGATACGGAGTCACCAATCCAGCTGGTTCAAGTTTTGTCTATGAGTAAATGGGGACTGCATACTTGTCCAAGCCCCAAATAATTTGAGGATCTTGCATAACACCTACCCACTTGTAGATTTGTAATCATTACTTTGAATTCAGCTACTATAAATAGAGGACACCCCCTCTCTTTTTCAGGATCTTTACTTTCATAATAATCAATAGCAAAGACAACCTATGAGAAAGAGACTGACTTGGTATTCTCTCTGAATACTCAGTTATTGTATCTCTTGTAAAACTCTCATATATAAAAGAAACAGTGAACGTATGAATCACTTTAAGCATCCGAACCACTATAAAAATTATTTGTCTCATTTATTATTGTATCTTTGCATTTGATAATATTGTTTAACCTCGTCTTGACTTTTAAATCAATCATATCACCTGTAATTTCTAAAAATAATTTAACACTTTGCATGTGTGAATCATTGGTGTCAAAATCAAGCACCAACACTTTTCATTAATTCGGAGCTTATATAAATCAATTAATTAATTAATTAATTAATGTGTATAAAAAGTAATTAAAATGCAGTATTTATTTACCTGAAAACATATCAAGAAAGTAAAATAATAATAATAATAATAATAATTAGTTTCATGATTAAGGTATGAAATTTAAGAAGAAGAAATGGAAGTAAAGAAATTGGATTGTGTGGGCACAGCAGAATGATGGGTAAGGGTAATGAATACTTTTTAATATTATTACATGGACATGATGAGTGTACTTTCCATTGAGTTAATTAAAGTTATTTATTTAAAAAAAAAAAATTAAAGCACGTGCAACACATATTTTGAGGGGAAATATGTTTTGAGTGGTAAAAAATTCACACATCTCAAGACAAACAAGAGTATGTGAATGTGAACAGTAAAGTACAAGATCCAAAGACAACAATCACATGTGATCATGTGATCTACATCTACTACTGCCTACTTGTTTAATTAATTTGTATTTAATCTTTAATCAAACACCCATTTTTTTTAAGAAATTCTCTAAGAATGTAGGCGACAAATAGCAATTAGTTTAATTAATAAAATGTAAATGAAGATTAAAGTAGCATTATTGATGTGACAGTGAAACATTAACATAAAAAAACTCCAATAAATTAACGGTGGGAAACAATATTTAACTACAGATCCCTTGAGTTTGAATTGGCATTGATTGATTGGAGGAGCAGATTCAAGTGCAAGCAGGTTGTTTTAGTGGGGAAAGACTTTACTGATAACATATTTATTCTTTAATGCCTTCACATTCTTTGAGGACTTATGTTGAAGACATTCAAGAATAAGACGAACTGAATGTCACTCATTTCACCTGTGGATCTGAGCACTTCTTTAACAACTCAAAAATTTATATTTCTTACTTTTTTCAATGCATCCAATCAATTTGGTCTCACGTGAAACTCCTGTTCAAATCTTTCTAATAATAATATTTTAACAATGGATTCTATTCCATGGGAGGAGGCAATGGTTGTAAAAAACACCTCTAAAGACTCACACCACTCACCATTCAGCTTACTAAAAGACAAGTAGTGATTGTGAGGGCAAGAAATTAAGATTTGCCAGAAAAAAAAAATAATAATAATAAAACGGAGGGCAACAAATTAAGCAGGTGGGATTACTCGAAAATCCAGTCTGCAATAAGGGTTTTGCAGCATCTACTCCCCCTTTTAACAGCAAGGGCCAAAAGAAAATATGCTGAAGTGAAGGAATTCGCCTTCCTTTAGGCAAAGAAAGAACCAGATATGCCTAAACATAAAAGCTTAAAGTCAAGGCCTATTTTAAAGTGGCATGTATGGATCATATAATATGCAATAAACATTGTTATCTTTTCCATGCAGGTGAAGCCAAATTCAACCTTATGCTTTTGGAATATAAATGGAGGGCCATTGGAATTGAAAGGCTAGGTTTCAGTTGCTTGCAAAGTGGGTGGCAGCCTGGCATCAGAGTCACCAATGATCTGACACGTCCCGTAGAAATATCAATGTATGTGGGCCAACTCTGAACTCTCCTATTGCTAGATCCATTCGAGTTGCTTTGTCACAAAATAAAGATATTCATATGGATCTTATCTTTCTATTTCCACCTCAAGGGCATTTGAATTCAAATCTGATTGTTAATTAGCAACCAAAATACACTCAGGACTATACAAGGAATCTTTCACTTGGAACTTTAGATTATGCATGACAGAAGAGAGATACAAACCACACAAGTTCATTCCTATTGAAACATATACTACATTTAGAGCATATAGTAGAAGTTCCAAGATAGAAAACGCTTGAAATAGTACACAACTTGACAAGGAAGAAACACAGAACCTAAGGTGATGGAGGCCAACCATGGACTCCTGCATCCTCAACAATTCCGTCGTAGAACCTTAGCTCAAGCTCCTCCAGCCTGCCTTCATCATCCCACATTCCGTCATAGAGTACATCATCATCATCATCATCATCATAATCACCCATTCCACCAGCTAGGAATTCCCAGGCCAAGTACTCAGAACCATCCGAGTAATCTGAGCAATCGTCCCAATCATTATAGCAATCCTTGACATTGGGTCCCAAAATCTTCAAGTTTGGGAACTTCCCCTTGATGAACTTGTCATCAAGTTTGACATCCCAGCACCCTCTCAAATCTAAAATTTCTAGCTGAGAGCAGCTACAAAGGATCGTTAAAACACTTTCAGTGCTAAGATCATGGTAAGCCATCTCAAGACGCCTGAGCTTAGGCATTGTTGCAGAAATGGCATTAGCCTCATCATCTTGCGTGAGCTTCCCTGTAGCTGGGTGCATGTTCCGGCACAAACCTACCAGCATTTTGCAGTTCTTTCCTATGGCCTCTAAAGCACGAGCACCGATTTTATTGCAATAGCTCAAATCCAAAAAAGTGATCGCTGAGAGCCTTCCAGCAATCTGCTCAGTAACAGAATCACTCATCTCACCTCTTGGTAGGCGCAATGTATGAAGGGAACCAGCACTTGCAAAACAGGAAAAGAAGACCCGTATCAGCAAAAATGTGCTAACAGAGTTTCAAATGAAAGGTCCTTTGAAGTACTAAATCATTTGAAAAAGGTTGCGCGATTCAGGAAACTGAAAGCTTTTAAAAGGGCCCTAAGATCAAATAGATTTAATTGAGACATGATGCTGATTTACTTATGAAAATTTGTAAGTATGTTAACAAACTAGGTAGATAAGTTCATCTCATAACAGTCTAAAACACTGACGACAAAGGCACCAAGCATAAAAAAAAAAGCATCAATGTATCATAAAATCAAAATCTGAATGAGGGTGGAACAAAAAGGCGCAATTTTTATTACTTTTCTGCAATGAAGGTGAACATCATGTCATTGTGCAGGCCAGAAACACAGAGCTTGCGGAGAGATCCAGAACTTCTTGCGATCAACATTTGAAGCATCCGATCAAGGTGTTCAGGTTGGCAACATTTGCTCCATTCTTCGATATCGATCTCTTGCCAACAATATGGTCCTGTTACTGCTTTTCCCCATGATTTGCAAACGCGAGGGATCACTGTTAGTACCTCCTGGAGTGATAGATGTTTAAAGATTAGTCCAAGAGCATCTGGTATTAGCTCATCCCAATTCCGAAAAGCACTTTCGCCTTCCATCCTAACCGTCTCAACACAATAAACACACAAAAAGTTGAAAACAATCTCAAAGTCAGCTTTGTTTTAACAAGGAAGATAGGCTCAAAACTAGGAATACATAGTAACCAAGAATCAGAGAAGAGATACTAGCAGGAAATCTTTTATCACGTTCAAAAACATAACCAGTCACATTCCATTAATAAAGATGAAAACTACTCTTTGCTTGTCAGTAACGCAAAATACAATTGATTGAAGAACAAGAAATGGATGCATTTAGAACTTTCTAAAAAGGGTAATTCAGTAGATATGGAAAGGAAATGAATTATAGAAGAAAACGTCTCAGATCAACAGGGAAATTTAAAAGAACGGAAAACTAAGAAATAATTTCCGATAATAACAAAGAAAGGACCAAATTCTGGGGAACTTGAAAGAAAAATCAGGGTTTGATAATCTGGACAAGGAAAACAGACAATGAACAGAAAAAATAACGCATAAAAGACACAAATAAACCAGCTTTACAGATCTAACCAAACCCACAAAGCAAAATTGCCAGAAAACTATCACGCATGAGAAGCAAAAAAAAAAAAAAAAAAAAAAAAAAAAAAAAAAAAATATATATAATATATAATATATATAAAAAGAAACTTTATCAAGGCAGAGAGCAAAGTGTAGAATAATAAAATGACAAGATTCTGGTCACAAGCACAAAGACAGAATAATATTAACAAAAGAAAGTCACTGTGCAAATTACAGAGGAATTGAACTGAATCGAGAATCCCAATATATAGCATATGAACAAGATTCTGTTTTGTAACCAAGAAAATGTTAGTAAAAAAAGAAAATCATTACTTGAATCAGAAAGTAAGTTGAACTAAAACTAGTTTTTTTAAGTATTTCATACCCAGAAGATTAAAACAACAGATGGTAATCATCCTCGTTTCAGTTCTGTTCTATAGACAGTTTCAGAGTGACGGCAAAAAGAGAAAATTTACATACATCTAAAAACAAGATGGGTTTCGTTCAAAAGGCAGAAACTTTCTGGATTTGGATTATGCAAAAGAACTCACCGGTTTATCCGCCACAAACGTAGGGTAAAAAGAGAAAAAAAAAAAAAAAAAAAAACTCAGAGAAACACTCAGAAGTGAGAGAGAAAGGAGAAATAAAGAGAGAAAGCTACAAAACTAGTCCTATTATCCACCTAACCAAAAGCCATCAAATGCAACCAACAACAAGAACAAAGAACAAGAGTAGAAACAAGAGTAACAAGCAAGGCTACACGGGTTAATAAGAAAAAGGAGAAAAAAAAAATTAAGGAGAGAGAGAAAAAACCTAAAAAGCGACACATACTCTTCAAGAGAATAATAAGTAAGAAGAAATGAGTGAGTGACAAAATATGTACTTTTTAATACTGTGACCATTGGTTGTCATGTATCGGTGTTAAGACAATTGAATACGGCTGAGATTGGACATATGATTTGTATGGTTTTGATGAAAGATAGGGTTGAAAAAAAACACACAGCGAGTGTAGATACTTGTGGGGACAGTAAAAAGAGTAAACGACATGTTCTCACCCAAGGTTTGACAAAATCCCAAGTTAGTTCTTTGGTTCCATTTATTATAGATTCTCACCCTTAAAGTGACGAAAAAAACGTTTGAGATAACCGTAAAAGGGTAAATTGGTCATTTTATATGGGCGACGTATGTTAGCAGACCACCGCCTTAACAGTCCTTCGACGCATGTTAGTAGCCGTCGTTTCCAACATTTTTCGCTTTTTCTGGCGATTCTTCCACCAAAATCACCTTGTCACTACCATTTGAAACCCATCCTCCCCTCTACAATAACCATACATCACAACCCTCTCACCTCGCCGATCTCCGACCACGACAACGAAAAATGGCCGATGAACCGAACTCTCGGCCGGCGAATGATGATGAAACGGTTGCGGGGACATAGGGTGTTTATAGATTTGGGGTGGTGGTTGCATTGGTGGTGTCCAATTGGATTTTTACCGTCGGAATCGATCGGAATTCGGTGAAGAACACCGAAACCCTAAGCCTAACGGGTGCCGGAGATTGGAGGGGCAAATGAGTCGGGAACCAGAGGGGTTTGGACGAGGACTATGGGGAAGGCGATGGAGGTGACAGGGGTTCGACGTCGTCGAAAACAGCCCAGATCGAGCTGTTTCCGGCGAGGGTGTATAGTGACCGAGGGTGTTTTTGATATATTGAAAAAAAATGATAAGTTTGTAATTCTACTAATTTAGGGGTTAAAACATAATTTATTAATTTAGGGTAAGGGCATTATGATAATGCACCCTCTAAACCCTAAAAATTCATAACACTATTATTTTAGGGTGAAAATCTAGAATAATAAAAACCAGGGTACTAATTAGGATTTTGTCAAACCTTGGGTGGAATATGTCGTTTACTCCAGTAAAAAAGATGAAAAGAATTTTGGTTTGGTTGCAAATGGTGTCACCGACACGAGCCGGTGGCATAATGTGTTGAAACAATGTCTATTTTTGTGGAGGCCCATGCGGGGTGGGGTGGGCTGCATATAGCTCAGAAGTGCGGCTGTTCACTTATTTGAAAAATCTTGAAGAGTTAATTTTAACATTTATTAACCAAATGCAGTTGAAGTTTGAACCTTCTGGTTGCAATGCAATTCGTCTATGAATAAATATTAACTATGGTTTTCTGAAATCTGACAAACCCAATATACTGAGTTTTCTTTGCAGTGGTTTGAACCACCATTAAATGGGTGGCTCAGGTTGATGAGAGATACAAAGGGTCAAATTTATGGTTTCAAGAGAGTTTTCTGCAGGATGTAGTTGTTGATTAATTGAAATTGAGTCCCACAAGTAACAAGCTCATTCATGCAATTGTAAGGGAGGAACTTGTGATGAGAAATCATCTTTACTGGCATTATAACGTGCAAGAGCAGGAAGTAGTGTCATGTCTACACCCGCATAGAATTTTCCTCAAGTTATGAGGGGCAAAAAAATAAAAATCACTCTCACTTATGTCAGCATCATGTCACGAAAAGAGCTGACAACATGTGATCCAAGCTTCAAAATTTGGTTCGTGTCCTTGCACAGGGTCCGAGCCATTCATGTCCAGTTGATGGGATATGATTACAGCAAGGCCAGTCCAGCAAGAAAAAAAGTAAAATTATCCGGTATTAGGAAGAGTCAGAACCATTTTCTTCTTAAAGCTAATGTACCCAAAGTACAATCTCCCACGGCAGTTAAATCTGAGCACAATCCACATCCTAGGATAGCCAAAGTGATTAGAGTTATCATTTATCTAATAAAGAGTTCTCAAGGACAAGTGAATTTCAAAGTTCAAACCTCATATTTTACGGACTAATTGTTGAGCTTTTTGGCTGACGACAAAGCAGAAGTCTCCCATCCCACATGTTCTCTGGATTGGGTTTAACTTGAAAAATGAATTGGTTCAAGAAAAAAGTACCCTCTATTTCCCAATTTTCACCTTGATTGTTCCTAATTTAAGCCAACTATGTGACATAAAAAAGCTATCACTTGGGAAAAAAGTACACCAACTGCAAAAATCACTAATCCATATTCAATCAAAGACTCATGTGGGCTGTTCTGCTCTAATCAGGGACTTAGGAACTATGAAAATTGTGATTGCGGGAGTTCTAAGGAGGAGGGTAATTGGGGAATAGAGGTTGCTCCTTGTAAGCTTGGCAGTGAGTGCAGACTATATACAGTGATTCCTAATAGACCGAGTAATAGGTGACAGAAAGTAGCTGTCCTTTTATTCCATCTCCTTTTGGGAGGAATGGATTACCATGAGTGGAGAAGAGGGGCATTTTTATTTACTTGGTGTGTACTCCCTTGTAACAATGCGAATGAAATTCTGCAGATTAAACACCTTTCCCAACTCATCTCAAGGATTCAAGACGAGATGACAACTAGTTGCCTCTAAACACTACTCAAATAAGCTATTTCTCATCTCACAAGTCATAACCACAGCGGCCAAAGAAGCCGGCAAAACATCCTCGAGACAACCCTACACTGTCATTGCATAGGAGCTACAATGAATTTCTTAATAGTTTCCGAAACGGAAAAATAAATAACCCATGCAAAGATAAAACTATCAGCTGCTGACATGTCTATTCTTCCAAATATCCAAATGTTCATCTGTTTGTTTCCCCAAGCTTCAAACACGGATATAGTGGCTTTATGGCAGCTATAATGCATCATAACAAGAGAATTTTAGCAGACCCCGAAATTAACCCAAGTTAATGTATAAAAACATGAAACAATCATAAAGACCAATCCACCCATGAAAACTTCAGCGCACTCAGCTTGTGTCACCATATTAATGCAACATGGGTATAAACGGATAGTTTATATCTGTCATGTCATTAAAAAGTAGAAAACCCACTGCAGAACTTAGGACAGAAAATTGTATACTAGGAGCTCTAACATACCAAATATTTGTAGACATAAGGTTTCATTATATTATCCATTCAACAGAAGACTGCTGGGCTTCCATTAAATGCAAAATATGATCAACAAAAATTAAGGCAGTGTGCTGCATCTGCTAAAGCCAAGTAGCATGGCAAACAAAAAAGAGGAAATACTAGATAAATTCATACTCCCAAAAGTATTATAATCCGAATAAGTTCTACTCTGGTAACTGTGCATAGAACCTTCTGGAAAATAAATCTCTTGATTCCACTGCATACATTCCTGATGTTGATATATCGAACTACTCCCTGATAAGAAACAAAGCAGAAATGAATTATCAGAGTTTAAGGAAAACAAAATTACACTCAGCTTTTCTATGACAGAAGAACATGCAACACTTACTACAAGCTACACATTTGCATGCACCTAAATATTTTTAGTCAAAACTAAGGCAAGTTAAGAAAACAGAATTTTATGGATAGTTTCCCAAAATATAAAGATAAAAACCATTGGCCACGCAAACATGTAGCAAAGCTTCAACCAATTTCTATGATAGCCCAGAATCCTGATTGCAGGAATACTGGTACTAAATCACAGCCACAAGTCCAATGAAAGAAATCAATTATATTGAAAATTGTAGTAATCAGAAACATTCTTACATAAAAATTATAATAAGGGAAGACATATCAAATATGCACAAAAAGATAACAGTTTTATAAGAGTGCAAACTTAGTCCAATGCAACTATAAACCCTTCAACAAACAAACCCACCCACCTCTCTTGTTTTGGAGTCATTCCTACATTGTTATCTCACAAACCTAATTTAGATTCTGTAATTCAATCATCTGCATATGGATAACATAATGATGGGTAAATATTTTGTTAAAATTTGGTAAATGAATTACCTAGAGGAGATGTTTGGTTGATTAGGTTTAAGGCACTACAAACTATGGCTAGAGACAGTAGGCATTGTTTAGATCTATAGCCAAGTATGAAGCAAACAATGAACCTGGTTATGGTGACACCTTCAGACAGTGTGGAAGCATCAGCTTCCAGTGTAAGACATGATGAACTATGTAAAGGAAATGGAGATAAAGATCTTGACAGACCATTTTTTTTAATGCCATCTTCAATGACAAGAACAATTATAATTCTGTCATAATTGTTACTTGGAGTCCTCATTACTGCACAACCAGATATGTTATGCATGAATGAGGTAGCCTTATAATCTTCATGTTGATAACAGTCAACTTAAAGATAGAAAATTCTGTTAGCAAAGGCAGTGAATGCCATCAGCCAACACATGGTTTTCATTTTGATTGATGGTGCTCAGATCAAACCGGAAAAATACTAAAGTGCAAGAATCACCTTGTATAGAAAGCAAAAAAGGACACCAAACGAGAAAGGAGAAAATATAAGAAGATCTAATCTGCACATGCCAAGGACAGGTAACAGCATTATGATGCAAGATCTCTAAAGTTGACAGAAGGGTCGAGGCAGTGGCGGCACCCTCCCTTAAAACGATTTTGGTTTGTAGACTGCGATGCAATCAAACATTTTATCCAATCGGGTGACAAACAGAAAAAGATTTAACAAAAAATGACTCAGAAAAAAGAAGATTTTCTCACTTCCCCTTTCTATTTACCATGATCACGGAAAATGACCCCTTATTGAGAGCAGTACTATATCTACTATGAGTAATAATATATGAGATCAATATTTTTAATGTGGTCTTCTGCAACAAGCACCTAAACTGAAACCTAGCTTTAAGCCAAGCAGTAATGTGTTCTGCATAATCTTTATGGATTGTATGAAAGCGCTAATTCCAAACAGAGATCCAGCTATTCTTAAACAACTTGGTTTATTAACAGCCCAAAAAAATCTATGCCACGCATCCCAACTCAAAATCATAATAAATCATATCTAAATGGTACATGCTGTTGGCTAACTTGGTTTATTTATGCCTATTAGCAGTTTGTATGATCCACAGAAACCAAAGTAAAAGTACTAACTGAAACATGGCTAATGCAGGCATCTATAATACGCTATTACAAACTGAGCTGAAGTAATTCCTAAATAATAAGAAATTGTAAATACAGCACTTCAACTCATAATAGTGCAATAGTGTATATCTAGTCATCATATAAATTTCATCCTATCCTTCCAACAACCAATTCAAGAATCAGGTGTACCACATAACAAACATATAAGTAATTCCAGAAATCATCTGTTACACTCAAACCCAATTCAATCGCTTAATTCAAGAAACAAACAACGTAACATGTAATACCAAGCAATCCATAACGATCAATTATGAAATAGATAATTAAATCACTCACAAACACGAAAAAGAACCATACCATCTAATGAGCCATCCGAACAGAAAATGCTGCATGATGGGAACCTTCTCGAGCACCTCCGCCTTATACATTTTCAGCAGCCCACTGTTAACCTTATTCCAATTTGGCACACCACTGATATCATCCAACAAAGGTGAGTGCTCAGCAAATAAACCCTTCTTCACCTTCTTCACAAAAGCAACACAGGAAAGATACATATACTCATTGGAAAAATTTTCCAAAATATCCTGATTATGAATTGACTTCGGCTTCATATACTTATGATCAATCAACTGCGAGGAACCAAATATAAATGGCAAGAAATGATAATCATCCAACCCCCAAACACCACGCGATCCAGCAGGCTCCAAACAATATACTAATTGCAATTTCCTCATCAACTCTAAGTACTTAACAAAAACCCTAGACACAACAGCTTGATAATCTTCTTCCTTAATTACTCCTAATCTAGCTAAGCAATATAACCAAGCAGTGAAATTAGTTTCATGACCAGTTCCGTAATCAATACGACTCGGATTACCAAAACTATCATTAAAATACGGAACAATTTCCACCGTGGCAGCTTGAAGTTCGTCAGGCAAAAAACGGAGCATTGCCGTATCGCTGTATTCAGTTAAACGGCTATTCCAGGTTCGGTAAGAGACGTTACCGTAACGAGACACCTGCTGAGCCGGAGGAATTACGTCGATCCATTGAATTAATTCGTCAATAATTGATGAAAGGGTGCGGATTGTTTGAGACTCGTGACATTGATCTGAAATTTTGTGCCCGCGAATGGACTCGGAGAGAGCGACGACGAAGCCGAGGAAATTTTTTCCGGAATCGGAATCAATGAAGTGGCGGACGTCATCGGGGGATTGGATTCGTTTGGAAGGAGTTTGGAATTTATAAGGAGGGGAAATTGTGGGAACCTTTTGGGATTGGGGAACGGGAGCAAGAATGATGGCTTGAGAGTTGTTTGGAGGGAGGTTAATGGCTGGAGCACGGATGGGACGGTATGTGGGAGGTGGGGAGATTTCGGAGTACGGTGGTGGTGGTTCGAAAGTGGTGGGGCCGCCGCATCTGGCGCAGCAGGATGTGATTGTTGTGGTGGTGGCAGAGGAGGGTGGCGTTTTGGGGGAGTGATCATGTTGATGAGATTCGGGTTCCATGTTTAGAGAAAGGAGAAAGGGAGTAAAGGTGGAAGGGGAATTAAATGAAAATGTTCTTGAAGGAAACTGGATGTGTCGACAAGAATGGATTGTTATGGGCTGAATTGATGGGGATTGGGATGTCGTTGGTTATGTAATTTTATCGAGGTCATGTCGTTCAAAAGTTTGATGTGAGACTGACATGCCGTTTATCAATCTTTTATTAGTTTCTTGGGTTGGAAATTGGAATAGCCTAAGACATGATTTTTTATTTTTATTTTTTTTCAAAAACACTTGCGGTCTGTTTTGGGAGTTTTATAGTAACGGTCGTTAGGTAAACCGTCGTAGCGGTGTTGAGGTAAACCATTGTAGTAATTTTGAGGAGTTTTTAGTAGCGGTTTTTAAAACACCCAATTTGTGCTTAGGAGTTTATTTTCTAGCGGTTCTGACAATTTTTTTAAATGATAAATTTACATAAATGCTCATAAAGTTAAAACACTCTCTCTTTTGCTTAATTAACTTTGATAAATACATATAATACCTACATTATTTGTTTTTATTTTCTTTCTCTCCGATCAAACAAGAGGAGTTATGATTAGGTCATCAGTTTCAGTTTCCAGTTGTATTTGGTTTGATGGAATATATTTTTGTTTCTTTCTATTAAGATTTGTAATGAAGCTCTTAAGAAAAGAAGTTTGCTATGTTGATTTCATACGAGGGAAAAAGAAAAAGGGATTTGCAGACTTTGAACCAGAGTTGCTCTGCTTTAACTTTCTCATGCACGGACAAGAGACTTAAGTAATCGGCGATCAGAATCAGATGGTAGCAGCTGTTATCTGGTACGGCAATGACCACCGAATCATCTGTTTTCAGACACTTTTAAATCCCTTTGATTCTCTTACCATTTGCTTTACTTTCCCATCTACTAAATCCCAAAACCAAACAAAACAAAACCCCAATCTCGCTCTATCTGTTATCCTTTTGTTTTTATTTTCATTTTAATATCTTTTTCCTTTCTTCATCTCAAATTGTTAACTTTCTCTCTCGTAACCCAAACGAAACAAACACAGAAATCTTGACTATCACAAATTAAACGAGTTGTGTGCAGTAAAGGGATTTGTGTGCAGCAAATTAAAACCATTCACTCACTTCGTGTGCAAGTAAGAGATTTGTGTGCTAGAGAGAAGTCAACAGCAGCGATAGTTGTGTGCAGCAAAGGGAGTGGAAAGGGATCTTTTTGAGATAAAAATTTTAAATCAGCCAAAATACCCCGATTTGGGGTGTTTTATAAATCCCTCAAAAATACATTACACTGGTTTTAGGGGGTTTTTAAACCAGTCAAAACCAGTTCATTAAAAATCTGGTAAATGGGGGTTTTTAAATACCTCAAAACCAGTCTAATTAAAAACCCTTTAAAACTAATGGAAAAAAAACTCTCAAACAGACCCTTAAAAGTTTATAACTGTCGCCGATCCCTTAGAGGCGAACAACCCTTCTTTAGGGAGAAATAATTGTTTTAATTATAAGGAACAGTCAGTCTTTTTTTTTTTTTATATATGAAAGAACATTGGTCCTTGGCAAAAATAGATCATTCATTGTGTATAATCAAAATTATTTAATACTTTGAATGTGATATGAGTTGACGTGATAGTTACTGATTCGAGTTATAAAAGAAGGTTATGAGATTAAGTTGTGAATATAATATTATTATTTTATTATGCATAACGTGGGGTTTTTGGTCACCTTGTTCACTTAAAATGTTTATCTCAACTTGGGTTTCGCAATAAAACGTGATTTTGTGATTTAAACATTTGGAGCTTACAAAAATCTGGATTAGGTTTTCCATTTAATGCCAAGCACGGATAATGCCAATAGTGAGTAGAAATTAAACTAAACTGCTGCCCAAAATAAAAATCATGTATCAGAAATTCAGAATCTCCATTCTCCGTCTTGACCAAACAAACCATTGCAACATTCAACATTCACAATATATACTTATCAGTTGCAGGTATATATGAAAACGTCTTTACACACTTTTTATTTGTACTCAACAAAATTACAACATACTAGCATTAAATATCTCTAATTAAAAAAAGACGTATCTACACGCAGTTACCATTACGTAGGCATACATGTATCATTTTGTGTTTGTATTGGTATCAGCCTTAATTTTATTTTGGTCACACGAGTGTTTTGCACGTGTTTGTCCGCGGGTCCCACATCGCGGGCAACAAATACTTGCGGCCATTTATGCCAATCGCATTATAGCTAGCTCCGCTCGTTTTCTCTACCAATACCTTCCCTGGATACCCCGGATACGCTCCTTTTCCAAATATACCCGTGCACGCACTAACGGCCTCAAGAGGCGCGTCTGCTGGCCCCTGAAAGTACCCGTTATTGAACGGGTTCGTCACCGTGCCTGCCAAAACTGTTGCCAGATTGATGATCATCCCGTCAACTCCGACGTCTCCGTTAGGAGCAACGAAAGGCGGAGTCTGTGGCCCGTAAATAGGTTGATGAAAGGGCCACGCGCACTGACCCGGACACTGACTCATCGAGTTACCAACCCAGGCATAAGCAAATTTGCTCTTCTTGTTTTGACCAGAACCGTGGGTCCCGCAACGACTCATGCAGAAACCATCCACTGCTACGTCAGCAGATGTCAAAAGAACGTTGACCGCATTATTCTTAATCCCTGCTTTCGAAGATAAAGCAATGAGTTGTTCGGTTTTTAGTAATTTTCCCAGTGAGTATTTTTCATCAAGAACCTGATTCCCTACAGCGAGAGATCGCCGACCGCCTTTGTATGTCTCGGTGGTTTGCCACCATGAAGAAACAGAAGGTCTAGGGGCTGTAGCAGAGCTGAATGAATTGAGGAAGTCAACGATTATAGACCTTTGAGCGGGAGAGAACTTTCCATACCAAACAAGATTAACGGTGACGTTTCCTTTGAGAAGTGGACCGTTATGATACTGTAGAACAAGCGGTTGCTGCTCAACAAGAGCTGACAGCGTTCTCGACGTGGCAAGGCAAGTGTTAGAAAGAGAAAGAGAGAGAGATAGTAAGAGAAGTGAAGAGAGGATGTCAGAGAGACGTGAAATAGAAGCCATTAAGTGAGAGTGAAGAAATTGCTTTGTTTGATTAACTTGAAAGTGTTTGATGAGAAAGTGGAGTAGTGGATTGTGATATTTATATAACAAGGAAGGAAGATAAGAGGATAGTGCGTGTGAAGACAGCTGGCTAATAAAGAGAAAAGTGCCGCGTGGCGAGGAGCTGACTTGTTGGTTACAGAAGACGCTAACAAAATTATGAGTGTATACAGTAATGAGGAGTGTTTAATAAGGAAGGCGTATACAGTGAAGGGAAGGAATTAAAGAAGTTTGATACTAATAAACTCTGTGCGGCCCCAAGACGTGCATACTACTTCTTTGTTAACAGTTTGTGGCTGCACCAAATGACAAAATATGTGATGTTAATTTATCAGGATTTGCATGCATCAAGACAAACGCGGTTTAGCCATCCCATTAAATTATTCATTCTGTCACCCATTGACCCTTTACAACTGTCTATATGACGGATTGCAGGTGTTAGATAGCGGCTTTTCTCAAGTCAAGGGATATCAACTATCAACTTGCTTAAAGATTGTTAAAGTCTTTAATGAATTGTCACCAATTCAACTGAAAATCTATTCAGCTGGATTTGGCAAAATCCACTCAATTCAATTGAATGAGTCGTCTTTAATATTTCAGCCTCTTCATTAGTTATTAAGAATGAAAGCTATACATGGAGAATAATTTACGTTGCCGGTAAAGGTTACTTGAAATGAACGGAAATGGAACTCAACAAGTGAAAAGAATTTATGCATTACCCTTTAAACCTTCTAAGTTTACAATATTTCCCTATAACTAATATTATAATAGAAATAGGTTGACAAATCCTTCTTATTAACTTTCTCTCATAAACATGACGTAACAACTTTAAATTAATCAAGTTACAATTGGTCAAGTAAGACTCATTATTGGACAAACATGATCTATTGCGAGCTGACACGTCGCGTTTGTGAGAAAAAATTTGTAAGAAGAGTTTGTGAGTATAGTATTACCCTTAATATTATTATAGAATAATCTTATGCTCATAACTGAGTCATACAACCAAGCAAAGATTTTACAAAATTCATATAAAATAACTACTATATCTTATATTTTTTGCCTAATTGTATGACTCAATTGTAAGTTATTACTCTATTCCTAACAAGTCATGACTCATGATACTAACAATAATACTATATATGAAGAATATAATAATGGTGGGGCGTATTATCATGGAAACCATGGATTTTTATCTTAAAGATAATGTTTAATTAATCTTATGGATTTCTATTTAATTTGAATGAACTTAGGTCATTAATAAATCATTACCGTCGATGATTCTTTTATATTTATAATCCATTTGTGCATCCCAGCCTGTTTCATGAATTATGCTTCTAGATAAATCCTAAATTTTAAAGGGGCATTGTCCGGCAGAGATGCTCTGATTAGGTTTGCGGAGTTGAACCCACCAACATAATTGAACGAATCAGCCGCGTCTTAAAAGTTCCAATAAGCTTAAATTCAAATCGTGTTAAGTGGAAGATCATTATTATTCATTAACTAAAGTTAATCATTGATCAACTTTCAGGCTCACTTTGGTAAGAAGGAATACGATGGATCAATATTCTACTTGTACACGTATTTCAAAAACATTATCCTACACTGTCTATTTATTATTTTTACGAGAAAAACAATATTTATTATTTTTATTTTTATCTATAGGTTGTAAGCCAAGCAATGGTAGCTTTTCAGTGGTGGTCGGCCATAGGCTATTAACTATTTTTTTAAACTAAAATATATATAAAATGCTATCATGAAAAAACACAAATAATCTTATTCTTTAAAAAAATAAAAAATAATAATAATATATTTATCGTAATACACTCTGGATTAGGAGCATACAAAAGGAATGAGAAGCTTCACTGTAAAGTCAAAAGGTCGGAAAGGTGAGACACTAACACAAAACAAAATTTTGAAAAGGGCAGTTGTCAGACGAGGCCGGATGGTCGGTGCTTATAGGTGACGTTTCAGAGTGAATGTTTATAGATATTGTGATGAACTGTGTTCACATGTGGAGTCCAGCGGTTAAATCGTGGCATGGCCGCGTGGGCGAGCTTTGCGTGAAAGTTATGGCTCTTGCGCCAAGCTGCTGCCTGCGTATGAGTGTATGGTGGTCCATACAATGTGTTGAGTGCGTAGACAAATTGGCACTTGAGGTCTTATTGTCATCGCTGGCGGCCTACCACGACCATTGGAATACGTTAATTTTGTGTGCAATTTGGGTCACGGATATTGCTAGATGCGCTTTGATTGCTGGTCTTGAATTTGCAAATTCGCCAAAAGATTTGATGAGCCCACAGTGATTACATGTCACAACTTATTTTCAGTATATATGATGACTTTAAACAAACAAACAAGTGTTGTGTGTGATTTTGCCAGAAAGCTGGCAAATCTTAGAAGCTTACAGAGCTATAGTTCGCTTCAAAATCAGCTCAGTCTAGGACAAGTTCGACCTAGAATTAGTACAATCCAGAGTAAGCTCGATTCAGCTAAAGCTCACCATGAGCGACCAATCCTATCAGTTGTTCGATAGATCAAGGATAAGCTTTAATCTCGGATATTTCAGAAGAGATAAGATCAACACCTCTGGTAGCGCAATCTTAGCGCTCAATTGCGAAAATCACGGGATTACACATAAAATCTAATCGCAGTCCCGAACTTATCTCTCTTTCCTTTATTAAAAACTTGTATAAATATCTCCTCAAACTATGGGAGAGGGGCTAGCAAATTAGTATTGTTATGCCTGAAAAAGTAGGGTTGACGTGGAGCCTCCTCAATAAAGGATGGTCAGAGCTCAAAAGAGTTCTGTGCCATCTAGGTGCGACCACGTCGCGCCTATCAATGTGGTATGACTTCTGTCAGTGCAGTAGGTGGGTGTCAGGCCAGCAAGCGGCTGGAGATCGCCCACGTGTCAAAGCCCTGCTTTAGTCGAGGAAATCCCTTGGGCAGGTGACCAATGGGACTCAAAGAAAGGATTTGCACGGCACCTACCCACTTGCAGCTTTTATAATCATTACCTTGAACTCTCCCACTATAAATAAAGGACTTCCCTCTCATTTGGAGGGATTAGCTAATTTTACGCTGAAATGGCTCGCTCTCTCTCTCTCTTTTGTATTCTCTCTCTAAACTGTAACTCAGCTCGCTGAACGCGACCTGACCTCTCCCTCTTATTAATACAATAGCAGTGGACGTAGGATTCGCTTTTGAGCATCCGAACCACTTTAAATATTGTTCTTCACCTTTTATTTAATTCAATCCCCTCATATCACATGTGACTTCTAAGTCTTTTTAGCATTTTACACGTGCGAATAGTTGGTGTCAAAATCAAGAATCAACAGTTTGGCGTTAGAAGGAGGGCCTGATTTAGTAGCTACTCTTCATCAGAAAAACCTTAGAGTAATCGGTCCCACAACAGCAAATGGCTCGCGGTTTTGAATATGAGCGAATCAATTATGGCAATGAAGAAATCCCCTAGGTACAGGAAGATACTTTTCTCGAAATGCCGCCAGTCCAGCATAATATCATGGGGGATATTCCTTCAAGCTTGCGGCTCGATCCATTCGTCATGAGTTACCTAGAGAGGTTCAATAACACTCTTCAAATGGTAAGCCAAAGGTTAGACCGATTGGATCGAGTCGTGCCACCCGAATCCAATAAGGTGGTGCCATCGCCAAAAACTCTTGCAGGTAGCATGAAAGCGCGGAAAAGGGCGAAAGCCCATACCGGGCGCACTGTAGCGTGTCAGAGAAAGGGAAAACAATTAGCGCACAACAGACCCAAGGCCTTCGAGAGACTAGCGAACACCAATCGCGCCCCGTGTAGAATACTCGTGGCATTGCGACTCGGCGATATGTGGCAGCATGAGCCGTCTCGCACCATGTCGCATGGGCACTCCCATAAAAGTGCAAGGCAGGGAGATTCCTAATATCGCCAGAACGATGACTTCGATCGTCGTTGTGCAGGGGATTCCCATCGTCCGTGGGTCGGTTCGTGCCATCGCGGAGGTCGGGAAGACTCCTTGAATCGATCAATGCCATCACGCAGCTCTAGCCAACATGTGTCGAGATTGGCCAGATCTTCCAGCTGAGGTGAGGAAGAGTCCGATTTGCGGTCTTTCCTTAACCGCAACCATGAAAGTCGAACCCATGTTGCGAAAAGTTATCACCAGGTAGCTCTGCTACCTTAGATTAAGGAGCTACAGCAAGCTCTAGATCAGCTTAAGGCTCAGCAGAATGAGCAAAGGCAAGTCGCAGAGGCGTATCCCTTTTCTCCGGTAGTGTTAGCTACCCCTCTCCTATCGAGATTCAGAATGCCTGACATGCGAGCATTCGATGGGAATTCTGATCCACATGATCATTTATATGAGTTCAACGACCTCATGGAATTCTACCAAGTCTCTGACTTGGCAAAATTTCGTTGCTTGGCAGTAACCCTTACTGCCCATGCCAAGCGTTGGTTTAGGTCGCTTCCAGCAAGATCGGTCGGCCCATGGCCTCAAATGAGCTTGACATTTCTGAGGCACTTCTAGGCGAACAGAAAGTTCTCAATGCCGCTAAGCTACTTGAGCAATATACTGCTAGAGAGGGATGAACCCCTCCAATCTTATATAGAATGGTTTCACAGGGAGCTCCACAAAGTGGATCATACTTCCAAAGAGTCTACTCGGACTCTCATCATTGCGGGAGTTTGCCCACAGACAGACTTGTCGAAGGAACTGCAATCTGAGGATGATGTTTCCCTTGCTTTTACAACCTTACTGAAAAGTACCTCCGGATTGAAAGTTTCGTGGAAGCTTTTAGTCGCCACAACCCCGATCTTTCTGGTATTGCTCCCAACCGGGGGGAGAATAGGAGGACTGATCGTAGATGGGCTAATGATGATCAGCGAAAAGGAAAGAAGCAACGGTACGAGCCCAAGAAATCTTATGCCCCAATTCCTCGTCGCGATTGCGACAAGAGTCAATACACTCCTCTGAATGCCTCGGTATCGGCTATTTTGGATAAATCAGAGGAAGCCGGTTTA